GAACGGCTCCTTGGGCACGGTGCACTCGGCGGACACCAGGGTCAGCAGCTGGGCGCAGGTACGAGCCTGGGCAGAGGGCCACTGGTGATCATCGGAGTCGAGGCCATAGCCCATACCCAGGGTTTTGACTTGGAAGGCCGGGGGTTTCAGCCTCAGGGACCCCGTCAGACCTCGTGGGCTGGTCCCACCCTGGCCGAAGGGCTCCCGCCCCCTCACGTACGTGCTCTGCCTGCAGGACCTGCGGCCTGGGGGTGGCCTCATAGGCACAGATCTCGTTGGGGTCATCCAGCTTGTGCAAGGCGGCGTACTCGTGGGGTTCCAGGAGTTGGCCTGGGGGTGTGGGATGGGTCGGGATCAGCGCCACAGGACGGCCGCACGGGGCCTGGGCCCCGCCCCCACCTACCGTCCTCTCCCCGGAGGTCGTCGGCCGCCTCGCCGTCGAAGTTCCCGCAGAGCCCGCACACCTGGCCCCTGTGCCTTTTCTCCAGCAGGACCTGCAGGCGGGTGGGGCGGGCCCAGAGCACACTCACCGTGCTGGCCGTCACCACCCTCCCTGCTCCTCCCTGCTCCTCCCGAGGGCCTCCTTTTCTCCTGGGTCAGAGACTGAGCCACCAGTGCAACCCACCCCCGTTTAGCACCTGGCCGGCGTCAGCGACAAGTTACGGGAGCTGGAGGGCGGTCGGGACCCCCACCCCGCGCCCGGCCCTGCCCTGCTACCCGTACGCCTCCAGTCGCAGCCGCTGTACCCTGTCATCCTCACCATGAGGTGGGCGCCTGGGCCCCACACGACCACCAGCTGCAGCTCCAGCTGCTTGGCCACCAGCCGCACGCTCTGGCCGAAGGGTGTGATCTGGAGCCCATTGCTACTGTAGGGCAGGCTGACAACCCTGTGGAGCGACAGTGGTCAGCAGCGCCCCTCAGCCCCCGGCCACTCCTTTCTGCCCCAGACGCAGGGCCGCACGGCCTACCCCACGTCTTTGATAGAGATGGCCCCCTGCACGGTGACCACAGAGGCCCCCAGCTCCACGACGATCCGGGAGATGTTGCCACTGGGCCCTCGCCGTAGCTGGACGCTGAAGGTGGGCGAGGCGTCCTTGCAGGTGGCTACAAACACGTAGTTGCAGGTGCCCTCGAAGTCATACACGTGGCCATCGAAGGTGGAGAAGTGGCCGGCCCCCCACGTGGAGCACCAGCCCCTGTCTGTGGAGGGAGCTGTGGAGGGAGTGGGTAGGGTTTCAGTATTGTGTCCCCTGGCTGGCGGGGCAGGTCTGGGGTAGCCTGGCCCTATGAGCTGGGTCTCCGGGGAGCCCATGCTTAGAGGCTAGTGGCCTCGCGAGTTCCAGGCCCTTCTTGGTGGGGGGCTGGGAGGGAGGATCCCCCCAAGCCCAGGGCTGCGGTCTGCCTGTCACCTGAGCCTTATAGGAACACAAGCCTCTGCCACCTGGGAGTCTAGTGTCACTAGCCCTGAGGTCTGCCGGACACGAAGCTGTGGCCCCCCAGCCCCCTCCGGCCAGGATCTCCCCCCGTGCAGCACAGGCTCGTCTCCCAGGGGAGGGGCTGGCCGAGGCTCTTTTGCAGCCAGGTCGGAAACCTTCATGGGAACCCCAGGCCGCTGACATTCCCTGGCAGAGCTGTGGCCCTCACCTGTCTGTGGAGAGTTCTTCAGCCTCTGGAGCTCTGGGTGTGCAAAGGAGGTGCCATCCAGACCTGCGTGGACAGGGCCTGTGGTCAGTGCTGGGACCACCCACTCTGCTTGAGGGCACAGCCTGCCCCGTGGGTGCAGCATTGGGCAGGGACCACAGTGCCAGCACCAGGGTTGAGCCAAAGCTCGTGCAATCTTCACAACTGACTCTTCCCACTTGGTTCATTCATGCATTCATTCATTCAATCACTAGTTCCCTACGTCTGCACAGAGCTGGCACCTGTTGTGTACCTGCCACCTGCTGGTGAAGGATACACAGAGGACAAAGGTGTCTGCTCCTGAGAGCCCCCGAGGAAGGCGAGGTGCACATAAACACCTACCCGCGTGCGTGCACACTCATGCACATGGGCAGTGAGCAGGGCCTGGGGGCCTAGCGCAGCAGTTCAGGTCATGCTGGGAGGATGGGGAGGTCGCTAAGGAGACACGTGTGGCCGAGTGCCGGGCCTCAGGGCAGCGTGGGTCCCTGACGCCAGACACCAGCTCTCGGGTCCCTCCGGCCCTGGGGCGTCTGCCGGCTACCCCAAGGCTCCCATCACTGGCTCACTCCTGGCGTGCCAGAACCCTCTCGGTCCAATGAGACAAACAGGAGCCTCGGGTCAATGGGCTGTTGGCCCTGCAGGCTCCCCGCAGACCTCACTGGGTGGTGGTCGTGGGGGGCGGGAGGGAGCCGTGAGCGCGGAGAGGGACTCACTGGTCCGTGGGCAGGCGGGAAGCGGGGGAGAGCTGGGGAGGGGCTCAGGCCGGCTGAGTGAGGGCTGATGCCCCACAGGGGGTTTCTTTGCTGGGCCCTAAAGGTGTCTGGTTTCCTGTCACCTGTCAGCCTCTCAGACAGGCCCGGGGCTGTGGGCATCATTGCCAGAGAAGTCCCCAGGCGACATGGGGCAGGGAGCCCTGGCCCCAGCCGGACACTCTGGGCAGGAAGGCGACCCCGCTCACGGCAGTTGGAGTGGGGGCTTCACCTGAGGGCCGTCCCCCCTTCTTAACTGCCACCCTCTGGCCTCCCTGTGGCCCTCGCCTGCCCCCTTGCCCCACCACGACCCTCCCCGCGGCCCCTGCGGCTCTGGGATGAGGTCCGCGTGCCTGTGGGCCGGTGACAGGGCCACGGCCTCTCCGGCTGCCTGGCTTCTGTCTTCCAGGCCCCCCGGGGCCTCGATTCTGCCGTGGCTCCCACCCAGCGCGGCTGGATGCAGCTCATGGGCAGTTCCTGGCACTACGCGGGGTGCGATGCCAGCTGCCCTCAGCGGTGTGTCTCTGGGTGCCCAGGCCTGTCGGACGCCCATGAGGTTCCCACGGGGGTAGGCGGCTGTGTCGATTCACTTTTCCAGTGGGGCAGTGACCTGGCCCCGGGCCACCTTCGTCCCGGTGCTGACCACGCAGGTCCACGTCTCAGCCCCTCCTACCCATGAGGTTCCCACGGGGGTAGGTGGCTGTGTCGATTCACCTTTCCAGTGGGGCAGTGACCTGGCCCGGGCCGCCTCCGTCCCAGTGCTGACCACGCAGGTCCACGTCTCAGCCCCTCCTCGCAGCTCCAACGGCCTCTCAGACGAGCCCCCACCCCCAGGACACCACTGAGTCCTGTCCGCTGTGCCCCAAGCGGGTCACTCCCCACCAAGGTGGCCACCCAACCTGCTCCTCGTCACCTCGTGCCAGCCTCCCCAACCCTGTCACGTCTCCTGTCCGTCACTCCTCTGGGTCCGCACTGCACCAGCGGCCTCCGGCTCTGAACCATAGTCCACCCTCGGCAGCAGGTGCTCCTTTGAAGACGCTCAGGACACACCCCTGGGGCCATTGGTGCTTCCCACCACTCAGAGAGGGCAGTGACCCCCGGCTGGGACCCACAGAGCCTGCAGGGCAGGCTGGTGTGCCACTCCAGAGCCCTGGACCGGCCACGCGATGGCCAGGCACTCACTGTTCCTCCTGCACGTTGGGTGCCCCGCCTGCCCCTGCCTGTCCTGGCTCAGCCCTGGCCTGGCTCAGGGCTCCTTCCTGGCCCCGCAGCCCAGGCCCCCCCACACCCCGGGTCAGACTTGGTGCCTCTGGTCCAGGAGGGCAGGTCCACCCCCTCCCCGCAGCCAGCCCGGAGCTGGTGCTCACAGCTGCGATGCCAAGGCCGAGATGGCTCCCTCGTCCCCCGCGGCAGTGCTCAGCCCAGACCCCACGGCTCCCCACAGCCGCAGCCCCGGCCGCACATGCAGGCCACGCCTCACCTGCCGGTTCCTGGGCACCTCCCCACACCTACGTCTGGGTCCAGCTCCGGACGTCCCCAGGGCCAGGGAGGGGTCCTGAGTACTCAGTCACCCCAAGTGGGAGGGTGAGCAGGGGCCTCATGGGTGACGAGGCCTGCTCCTGCGTCTGGGCCCAGTGCGGCAGGCCTGGCACGGGCACCACGCCGGTTCCCCGCGAGGCCGGCGGGGATCAGCAGCCAGGGAGGGGGCAGCGCGCTAAAAGAGACGGGGGTGAGTCCCCCTGGCTCAGCGAGCTGGGCTCTCAAGCGATGATGCTGCAGACGCCTGGGGCCAAAGTCAGTGAGAAGGGGCTGCCCCTGGGCCACCGAGGGACCCCTGGCCCCTCAGCGACCTTCCCACGGTCAGGGCAGGTGTAATGGCTGAAGGCTTGGGGTGGGGCAGGGGCGGGAGGAGAAAGGGGACCCTTGCCCCCTGGGCCCAGCAGAACAGGCCGGCTGTGGGGTGGGGTGGCCCCGTCCTCCTTCCACCTCCTTAACCCTCCTGGCAGCCACATGGGGGGCTGTGTCTCCCCCACTCTCACAGGCGGGGAAGCTGAAGCCAGAGCCCACTTTGTGGTCACTGTCACAGTCAGGACCCCGGAGCCAGGTCTGCACCAGGCTCTCTGCACCTGGCGCCCACAGGCCCTACACACCCTCTGGCCGCCCCTGGGGACCTCTGGGCCCAGCGGGCCGGTGGGGGCGCCTGGCTCAGGGCTGAGCCGAGTGCTGTCGCCCCAGCATGGCTCTGACACGCCTGCTGTTGGGGTGCCTGCCTGTCCCTGTAGACCCCTGCCCACTGCGTCCCCAGCCTTGGCTCCTGCAGCCTCTGTCCCTCTGGCTGGGCCGACCGGACCTTGGTAAGTGCAAGCTGGCCAGAGTGAGGAGTGACCTGCCATCCGCCAGCGTCCTCATGGCTGGCCACCTCTGGCTGAGTGGAGAGACGTTCCCACGTGATGGTGCCTTGGGGCGTCTGGCCACCCCTGAGCATGGCCCACAGGCCCCACTCACCACTGAGCAGAGTCCCCCCGCAAAACAGCAGCAGCAGCCAAGGCCCCAGCATGGTGCGTGAAGAGAGGTCGCCGCTGGACCTGGCCCTCCCGCCACTGGACGCCAGGCGGGCTCCCTGCACCTGTGCAAATGCGTGGCCAGCCCCGGACACCTTATATTGGGGCCGCAGGCCCTGCCCTGCCAAGCCCGCCCATGCCCCACGCACCGGCCCAGCCCTCGCCCCCCCCACCCGGCTGGGCACAGGGGTGGCCAAACAGGATCTTGGGTGCTGCTTTATCAGGACTTCTTGGAAAAACTCGGGGAGGGGGGGCCGTGGCCCCACCGTCACTTGCCACTTGCCCCCAAGCAGGAGCCTGGAACACACCCTCCTGTCCTGCAAACACCTGCGCCATTTGCTCTAGGCCGACGCTGCCAGGGGCCGTGCTGGGGACAGTTCCGGGCGAGTGGTTCCAGGGCTCAGCCTGGGCACCGTCAGCCACACCCTGGGAGCCAAGAGGGGGCTTGTTCAAGGCATAGGGGGAGCTGCCTGGGCCCCACAACTCCCCTGGGGAGAAAAGCCGCCAGAAGAAGGGCCTCTCCAGAAGCGAAGACGGTTTAGACCACTTTCAAGGTGGGGCCCCAGCTGGTCCTGGGGGATGCCCTTCTCAGCCAGCCCCCGGGCCTTTGGGCCTTGGGAGGGGGCAGGGGTAGGAAGCGCATGCTACACCCCGCGAACCCAAGTTACTGTTCTGTCCCCGTGGCTCTAAGTTGCTCGAATCAGGCACAGGATGGGTGGGCCACTTGGGGTGCAGACTCTTGGACACAGGATGGAGTGGGTGACTTGGGGTACAGACCTCGTGGGCACAGGAGCGGGGGCTGTGCCGTGGCCCCTGGGAGGAGGACGTGGGGCCTGGGGCAGCATCTCAGACGACAGGGCAGAGGGACCAGCGGGCCTTTGTCCACAGGCCGGACACGCACTAGCACCAGGAGGGCCAGGCGAGGCGAGGGCTGGGGGCACGGGGGCTGCGGCTCCTCGGGGACCCTCTCACGGTTGGGAACCAGGCGTGGGCCCGACGCTCTCCCAGGCAGCCTGGCCCTGAGCGATCTGTGTGGGACCCCATGTGGGAGCCTGGGGCCTGGCTCAGGGGCTCCCCCCCCCCTTCTCCTGAGGGTGGTTCTGGCCCCGGGGAGACTTGAGGTGCGGGAGCCCTGGGCGCCGCCACAGAGGGCTGGCGAGAGCCGCCAGCCTGCCCCGGGCTCGGGCTCCCCACGTGGGGCTGCGCCCCATCTCACAGACCCCTGAGCCCAGGAGGCCCAGCCACGCCGGTGCCGGAGGAGCTGCCCGTTTACCTGAAATCAACGTGTTTTAATAGGAAATCGTCCTAACGGAAACCGCTCCCGGAGGAGAACCGGGGCCCGGGCGGGCCGAGGGGCTGGAGAGCCGCAGGGCTGGGAAAGGGGGTCCCTGGGTGCAGCCCCAGGTGGGCAAGGCTGTGGTGCGGGCCAGAGGAGCTGGGCCCCTGGGCTCCCCTGTGTCTGGGGCTGGCAGTGGACTTGGGTGCCGGGCCTCGCTCCCTGGAGGCGATGATGCAGGGCCCCTGGCTGTTGCGCCAACCACAGGGACGTGCCCCCATGGGCGCCCAGCTGCAGGCCCCTGGCACAGCTGCTTCCAGCATCCCGCACATGGCCCCCCGATGGGCCTTGGCTCCTCTCTCCCTGTGGATGCCCCTCGTTCTGTTCTCCGCGCTGCGTGTGGGGCGCCCTGCTGTCCCGCCCGCGGGGCCTTGCCCTGCGGGGACCCATCCTGTTCTCCGTGAGCCTCAGCACCTGGAGGGCACCCCCGGCCCAGGACACATGAGGGGCTGAGTGCAGGATGGAGCAGGAGGAATGGACCATGCTTGCTGACCTGCAGGCCCGGGGAGGGCCGGGCTGTGGCAGGCAGCGGTCTCCATGTTGGGGTCCCCAGTGTTACCCCCAGCAGCTTCAAGGACACAGACGTGACCGTGGTGGGGATTTGGGTGTCATTTGGACTGCTGCCCCCGGGGCCTGGGCGGAGGAAGCTGTGCATGTGTGTGTGTGTGCGCGCGCGCGTGTGTGTGTACACAGCCACGTGCGTGCGTGTACACGGCTGCGTGTGCGCCTGTGCGCTCCAGGATCTGGGACGCGGGCCTTCAGCCTCGGGCGCTGCGGCTGCCTGCTAGCTGGGGGGTCCAGGACTGCGGGGCTGGGCAGGAAATCACGGGGGACGACGTGTGTGCGGCTGACCCGGGCTGCTGGATCGCGCTGAGCAAACAGCGGGGAGATAAGGGTGTGTGCAGCCCTTGTTCCCGGCGGCCTTGGCGATAAGCGGGGTCTCACTGGCCGGCCTTGGGAAACGGAACCGAGGCCTGGACAAGCGGGCGATTGTCCGCCCTCAGGCCCCGGCCCAGACCCTGCCCCGCCCTCGGTCGGTGTGGCTGACCCTGAGCAGCTTGGTCACCCCGCTGGCCTGGAGGCCTGGCCTGGCCTGCCCCGCGCCGGCTCCCAGCTCGGAGCCCAGGGTCCGGGGGAGAGGGCCCACACACGGCTTCCTGCTTCCGGGCTCACTGGGGAGGATGGGTGCTGTGCCCTCGGCCGCGGCTCCCTGGGCAGCCCTGACCCGACCTTTGCTCGGGGCCTGGTGAGGGTACTGACGTTCATCCCAGAAGGCTGCCGTCAGGCGCAGGAGGTCCCCAAGGAGGGGTTGGCTGGACTCTGGCTTACAGAGGCGCCAGAGAGCACACTGGTTGGCCCCCCACCCTGGACCCCACCTGTCAGGTGTAACGTTCCCTGGTGAGGGGGCGGGGGGCTTCCCCTGGCCCCAAGGCCTGGCCACACTAACCACATCCCATCAAAGGACTGAAAACTGTGGCTTCAGGCATGATGGGGAAAGATTTTGACACAGGAGCCGAGCTGGCCTTTGTGCGGTGGTGGCCGGGCCTGGCAGCTGCCCTTGCCTGTCCGAGGGTTGGGCCGGGCGGCAGTCTGGGTGACAACTGACCGGCCAGCACTGGGCTGCATGGTGGACGGGCGCTCCGTTGCAGAGCCAGCGGGCACTTCCCGCTGACCCAGGGTGCATGGGGGACCGTCTTGGACCCAGTGTTGGGGGCAGGGCTGAA